TGTTGCTAGGTAAACGGCTGTAACATCACCCTGAAGAATACAGCTTCTCGGCTGGAGCTGTGCTAAACCATCCCTCTCTCCTTTGAAGGAATCTGGTGTATAAAACAGAGGTGCCCTTTTTTTTCATTTTTTTTTTCTTTTTTTTTTTTTTTTAAGATTCTACCAGCACTGAGATGTTTGGGTTCATCTGTAGCATCCTGCCCATCCTTTTACTCAGGATGGCAGGATGCTTAAAAAACTCCTGAGAAGAGTATCCCTTTGCAGACTCTGACTAGCAAGACTAGTGGACAGTGGCTTCAGAAAGCAGAAAGGAGTGAAGTCCATGTTCCCATAGGCCACCAGAGCCAACAGGAAATCCAATATATGTGGTGTCCCAGGAAGAATTCTCAGTTCTTGTGCCACTTACTAGGGCTTCTCAGCAATCTTCCTCCTTGCATGGGTTGAGTCCTCCTCTCTTTAATGGAGCACACAGCACTGGAGCAAATATCATAAAACATTCCACCTCCAAGGCAGGAGCAGATACTGCATAGCAAAGTGTTTTTCTGTATGGGATGGAGCTGCCACTGCCTTCCAAGCACACACTTCATCACCCCCTTATAATTCATACAGCAGCTCTCTCCATTCTGAGGGACACCTAGAGACAGAATTACACCTCCCACCCCAAGCTTCCAGTTTGAATTTGGGCCAAGAAATCCCTGTGGAAAACTCTTCTAATAGAGGCTAATTTGAAGGTCACCATTTAAACCCACTTCACTTCTAATGCACTCCTGGGTCTGCACAAATCCCTTCCAAGGATAGGATATCCAGACTGGATGACTCTTAAGTATCATCACAGAACCACCATCTGCCAGAAACTGAAAGAGCGTCGTCATTCATCTTTCCAAGGAGAAATATTATCCTTCAACTTCACCCTTTGTATCATATTATGACATTATAATAACCATCTCCAAAATTTCTCTTTTGAGTATATTTGCCTCTTGTCTTTATTTCTCAGTTATGCCCTATTCCCCAATGATTTTGGAATCTATTGGAGGAAAAAAGATAACAAACAACAATAGAGTTTAATCACAGCAAAGCTAGCTAGAAATTACGCTGATTGAGCAAAAACGGGAAGTTAAAACAAAAGATCCAACACAACAGAGAATGTGTCTTTACTCAGTAGGGACCAACACATCACAACATCAGAAAATCAGCACTAGAAAGGTGCCCCACAGTAGGGAAGAGCAGCTGAAACATAGGTCAAAAGTGATGCCAGTGAAGGTACATTATTCTACAGTTGGAACTTGCCCCACTGTGCACCCCAAAGCATTATTGATTTATAAAAGTACATATGAATGCTTAACATCTTAAATAGGCACACAGTTGAGTACTGATGATTAATGAAAATAAGTGTAAAAACTGACTCCTGGATACCCACTTCAAGAAAAATATACCAGGAGAGGTCTGCATAAACACTATAAAAGACAGGCAATTCAGATATAAGTTTTCATCTCTCTCCTGTGCCCGTCCTTTTTTGTTTAGATAAGAGATTTCAGATCCAAGACTAATTTGAGATGCTTCCACACATGCATAGAGTGAGCTAAGAAACACAAAGGTTCATGAGGGCTTGTGCTGCAGCATTATCACATTGTCCTTCTAGTACTGTGCTCATTGGCCATGGTCTGTATGTTGCATAGCAGGAGAGAGGAAATCCAAGTATTGGACCTCTTTTTCTGAAAAGTCACTGGGGCATGGGAAATCTTTTGTGTTTGAGAGAAACTCCTACATATTACATGGATGACAAATCTAGCAATAGTTAGATACTCCACAGTCATGAGACACAAAACTTCTAATAATTAGCACTATCACATCACTAATTGGTCAAGGGAACACAGGCCTTTCACTCTGCATTTCAGAGGAGGTTTCTTACAGGAGAAAGGAAGGAGAGAGAAGGAAGAGGCTATTCAGAGATGTTTATAAAACCTGAAAAGCCAGACCCTAGCAGCAGATGGTAGATGGCAAACATGAAGATTTTGTGAAAAACTAGAGCAGTATAAAAATAGTGGAAAGAAGGAAAGCATTACAACAGTAGGAAATACTGAAGTTTAAAGGTACACAAGGAAATACATTTATACTTTCTGTTGCTCCATTAATAGATGAAATAGATAAAAATGGAGTAATAGAATAAATGCAAGGGAAATGAAAAAGCAAGAACAGTATATCACAACAAGCTTATGCACCGACAAGCAGCTTAAGTCTAGATCTTGAAATAGTATATTAGACCATAATATTTTCAAATTTCTTCTGAGGGTTGGAGAAATGGGATACACTGTTAACTTCTCACAAGTCTCCAGTACTTTATATTAAGAAGCTGTGGTCATGGTAAAAAGCATATGAAACATTAAACAAGAAAACCACCTCTAGTTCACAAAGACAATGAGCTGTAAATTAGGGAAAGTTGATAGGGTACACCAGGAAATAAAAACTGTATACTTCTACCATTCTCATGCTCTCATCTGCCAGGAGATCCACTGCTATCAGACACTAGAAATGGACTAGATGGGCTAGATATATCTTTGATCAGACATGTTTGTCTGTTTTTATGGCTGTCTTTATAACTTTCTTTACTAAGAAATGACACATCAGGAAGACAGAAGAGAATTTTTGACAGAAACATACTGGACTAAAAAGATCTTGGCTGGAGTCAAGGACAATGTAGGTTGATACCTAACTAGTCACTCCACACTTCAAGCAAACATACTTCAGTGACACACTTTCAGGCTCAGACCTCGCTACACCTCCATTTGCAACAGTCCTTACTATTCCCTATCTGTACTTTTCTTGAATAATACTTACTGTATTGTCCAGAAATTTTGCTGACTGTGTAACCACATACAAACTGAATGCCAGAAGAAAACAGGTATTTATTTCTTTTGTGGTCCAAAATAATATTCCCAATTCAGACCTACATGATGAACTTTCTCCTCTCAGTGACAGTCTCCTCTTCTTTTTTTTCCACTCCTTGTGCAACTCTGCCGGCGCAATTACCACCTCATTTGCAGTATGCCTCTGGACTTCAGTACCAATACAACCATACTTTAATGTACTCTAGAGAGAGATATTTATACCACCTAGCTCTAAACACCTAAGTTGGTCAGGTTATTAACCAGCTAGTCAATGCAAACTCCCATTTCAGTTTAGATCAGATCCTTCAGTCTCCTTCAGAGCAAGCATATTACCATAATCTGCAACTCTTGCTACTCAGGCCATCAGATTTTTAAATGTAGAAGCTCCTAGCTGCACTAAATTCCGTACCATGCTACCAAACTGACTTTAGTGGCAACATAAGATAATGTGGGTTCAAGTCTTTAAAGCATAATACACTCACTTCTACTATTGGGTTGGCCAAAAAGTAATTGCATTTTTTCCTGGATAAATGAAAGTAGAATTTTTCATGGGAAACAAAAACTGTATTAAAGTATATCGTGTCCATTTAGTTCAATTGCCATCTTTCAAGCATCATGATTTTTTTGGCAAAAAGGAGTTCCAGGAATTATTTGATATCCTTATCAGCAGTGAAGGTTTTACCATTCAAGGCATTTTGTAAAGAACAAAACAAATGGTAGCCTGATGGCGCCAGGTCTGGCAAATATGGTGGATGTGGTAACACAGCCCATGCAAGCTGCAACAATTTTTAACAAGGGACCAAACTTGCATGTCATCTAGTGTTATCATGGAGAAACACAACACCTTTGTGATTCACCAATTCTGGACTCTTCTGTTTGATGGCATCATTTAATTTATCCAGTTGATGACAGTACCCATCCAAAGGAATGGTTTGGTTCCTTGGAAGCAATGCAAAATACACAATACCTTTGAAATCCCACCACATTGACAGCATAACCTTCTTTTGGTGAATATCTGCTTTTGAAGTGCTTTGAGCTGATTCATCACACTTGCTCCACGATCTTTTCCATTCATCGTTGTTGTAGATCCATTTGTCATTGCCTGTTATCATACGTTTGAAAAATGGATCGTTTTCCTCACGTTTCAAAAGAGAATCGCAGATGTCAACATGCTTAGTGAGATTAATTTCTTTAAGCTCATGTGGTACCCAAATACTGAGACTCCTAACGTATCAAAGTTGTTTTAAATGGTTTTCGATGCTTGATTTCAATATGTTAAGATTATTAAGAATCTCTCGTGTTGTTAAACACCAATTGGATTTGATCAATGTCTTTATTTTGTTGTTATCAACTTCGATTTGCCTTCCTAAGCACGGTGCAGCTTTAACGTGAAAATGTCCAGACCAAAATTTAGCAAACCAATTCTGACACTGCTGTAGTTTTAAGGTATCTTCACCATCCACATCACATAACTTTTTATGAGCTTGTAGAACGTTTTTTCCTTTTTGGAAGTAATACAGCAATATATGATGAAAATATTCCTTTTGATTTTCTATTTTGAAATGGACACCAAATAAATAATTGTGAACGAAATAGTGCACTTTCCTTTTCTAAAACAAGCTTGAACTGTCAGCTGTCAAGTTACAGAATGAATTTGTGGTTTAAAATGAAGTCAGTTAGATTTCAAGACATGTATGACCATCTATTAAAAGCACACAATTACTCTCTGGCCAACCCAATACAAAGGTGCTGTTCTATAAGAGTCATAACAGATCAGCTTATCTTCACAAAAAACATGTATCATCCTTTAAGCACACATGTAATCTCCCATAGGTGAAGCCCTATGCAATTGTGTGAATAAATTGCAAACACTTGCAACAGTTCCATTTGATTGAGCAAGATTCATTTCACAAATAACTTGACACAGGCTTAACTTCTGCCAGCCCCAACTAAATCAACTAAATGAACAAGCACTTGATGTCTAGGGGTGAACAACATCAAAGTTTCATTTTTATCAAGTATTTTTTCAACACCACAACTGTGTTATAACAGCTTGCTAGCTAATCTTTAGTCTCATTTTTAATATGCTATTAGTATCCATAAAACAGATCTTACCTTGATCTTCTGAAGAGATTGGTGACCTGGAATAAAACAACAAAGTCCAGTCAATCTTTGGTATGAAAAGGCCTCAAATAAGGTTCAGTGTCACTGTGGGAAATGGGATATGGAGGAACTTGAAGGTTTTATTCCTAGGTTTAAGTCTTTATTCCTTAAAAGAAAGGGCTGGAAAGCATTTGACAAGAAAAGAGCAGAAAAGGGCAGAGACCTACTCTAGCAGCAAGTTCTGCAGATCAGAGTGGCCATATGGAGTCTTGGACATTAGGCAGCTGTCAACTACACTGTTAAGAATTCATGCCAAGAGTTTCTGTAGGTACTTGGCAAAAAAATTATCTACTACTGTTACTGTTGGAAATAGCTGACGTTACTGGTGAGAATGTCCTGATCCTCCAGAGATTATTGAAGGGACCATAATTAAGTGTGGGCCAGGAGAACACAGCCCACACAGCTAGGGGTGGTTGAGGAAATTACAGCTTCATGGGAACTCAGTCATTAAGATGGCCGTTTTTCTTACCATCAGTCAAGGTTGTGGCTAGCATAGAACTCCAGTCATAATTAATAACAGTTCATGCCATCTTCACAAAAGCAACATAAACAGACGAAAGAAAGGTCTGCACAGATGTAAGTACAGTAAAAAGCAACATAACAGCAGCAACACAAGAGTTACAGGATACCATAACCAGTGGCTTAAAGCTCTGACAATACTCCAAGAGAGTGAGGGATTATAAAATATGAGGAACCTCCTCTCAGTGTCCACGCTGATGAACAGAAGGGCCCCAGTGAATTCCAGAGATTCATGTCACAGCTGCTATCACTAAGGATCACACTCCTTATCATTTTGGTCAGCACCCACAATAAAGAAACATAAAGAAGTGTTAAGTATTTGCCTTTCATTTTTCCCTTTGCTGCAGTAGCTTGGCTTTGCAAAACTGGTGCTAACTGTACAGCCAAATCTGGGATGTGCCTTGGTTATTTAGACCAGATTGACAGCACACAGTGGGCTGCCACAGCACTTCCGCAGCAAAGATTCTCAACTGCATACACAGCCTTCCCACCCAGGTAACAAGGAGTTTGTTCCTGCAGTGAATGGGACAACCCATGCTTCCTTTCCAAGATATATTTAATTTTGCACCAATGTACAAAAATAACAAATTACTACAGATTTGAAAATGTTAGTGTTGCCAGCAAACAGATCAAAGCTGACATAAGAAAAGCAGCCACAGAGAGGTGAAAGGAAAAGAAGGAACAAAGGGGAAAAGAGCACATGTATATTTAACTGAGTCAGCAGGGGCTGAGGGTTGGAGGGGGGGAAAGAAGGGTTAGAAACCCTGGATTTAGAGGAATAAAGGACCTGAGGAAGGAATCATGATCTCATTCCATAACAGGGGTCTGAAAATGAGGGTTGAGAGATTATAGGACATCAGAAGCAGATATGCAAATATGTAGATGCAAACAGGAAAGATGGAAAGAAAAGAAGGAATCTATCCTTATCAAGTATGCAAATTTTTAGTTTTTAAAAAAGAGAGAGATTTGCAAAGAGAGGAAAGAGTTACAGCACAGCTGGAGCGATGGTCACTGTGAAAGGAAAAAATGTGATTGCCTCATTAAGATTCTGTCTGCAAGAAGCCAATGTGTCTGTATGGATCAGAATTAATTAATCCTTTACTCCCATTAAATCCTCTGATTGCTGCTGAACATCCTAGGCACGCATCCTGCTCTGCTGCCAACCAGGCCAGCTCTGCACTTGCACTTCAGTCATGTCTGTGGAAATATAGTAGGAATGAGGTAACCAAGAGGATTAGCAGGCCTCACTAGGACTCTATCTCACTGCTTTGGTCAGTTAGTTACAGACCTTCCTCCACAACCCCCAGCAGAGGCCCTTCTGAAGGTCAAGAGTCACCACACAGCATTTCCTACAAGGTACCAAGTTTTTACGTATTTCAAAATCTTTTTTCATGCAGGAGTCATGCCAGGTTCCTTAGCTCACGTATCCTGACTCTCCACCTATTGCTAATGCCGTATCCCACAGCATCAGTACAATTTATTCCTTTGTTTTGCTTCTTAATTGCACAGTTTCATCATCTTTCAAATTTTTATTTGAAATAATAAAATAAACAGTACAGATTATCCTATAATTTGGCTCTTCTCTATGCCTGGTAAAACAAACGTCATTAGTTCCTTAAAGCATCAACAGGAGAGACTCTATTACAATAACACTGCCTTCTTGATTAAAACATTAAAGGGAGGGATGAAAAATATGTTTGTGCATATTTAGTGTGCCAAAAACTAGTATGTATTTTTCAAAATGCTACTGCCGTGTACATTTGTTGCTTTGTTGAATGCTTTGAACACAGTGGTTGAACAGTAAGAAATCTAACAGGTACTATTGCCACTAGCAGTGTTTTCATTTGAAAGGCTTCACCAAGCATCTTTTGGAACTGCATAGCCTGGTCTCTCAAGAAAATAAGGTTTATATAAAGTTTATATAATCACAGCATCTTGATGTGTATGTGTGCACCTCTCTGCCTTACCCCAATAAAGCTTAAGCTTGTTGGTTCATTTCACCCATCGTTAACAGTGGGGTTGGAGAGCCAATTCCTGGTCTCCAAAATGCAATATCATAAGCTCAAACTTTCTGACAAGCTGTGAAGCCACAAAGAGAGGTTTTGAATATCTCAGCCACAGAAAAGCCTCAACGAGAGCTCCCACCATTGCAGACACCAACAGTTCAACCACAATAAACTAGGCTTCCTCTGTGCCACCACTGAAAAAGTATTTTGGCAGAGAGTAGAGAGGACTTTCAACATTCTTCTACAATTTCAGGCCTCACATTTAGCAGGGGGGATGTTTTCCAAACCATTCAAGTATTCACTTAACTACACCAAGGGGAGTCTTGCTTGTAAGTGTTAAGGTAAGGAAGTGAGGCTGCTGAAAAGTCCACACTAACAGTATTGGGCATTTCATGCATTGTCTGGTCTACCCCATGCTTATGACAGGCACTAAGGGAGGAAAGAAAGTAAGTCTAATGACCTGCTTTAAATCAGAGACTCACTCCACAGCCACAGGGGGCTTTCCTGACACAAAAAAATTCCAGTGGATGCTCGTATTTCCCATCACACTTCTTTCTCTCAGATCTGTAAGAAGTGTGACGGATATACTGTGGCAGCACTGGTCACCAGACAGGCATCCTGAGAAGGGAGGATTCTCAGCTGCTAATATCCACACATCTATCTTGTGCCTACCAGCTGCCCTCCTAGTATGATTCTAGCTGTGTCTCTGACTGTCATAAAGAAGCAAGTTACCATTCTCCCAACCTCCATGCCTTAAAAAAGTCGAGACAAGTCAGAGATACTTCATAAGAACTAATATGCTGTCAAGATCTGTGGTCCCACCTGGGACTGTTTGGCAAAACACTTTGCCAAATGAAATCTTGAAGAGATTCAAAATAAATCAAACTCCCAAAACCTTTAGGAAAAGCTTCAAGCACTGCAATATCCTGTTCTTGGCAATTTCAGAATGGAATCACTTATTTTTTATATAAACTGTTATTTTTTTCTGACCTCATCTTGGTGTAAACTTAACTTGTGGAACGAGAGGCTTATCACATCCCCACCTCCCCAGGAGGGTAAAGATAGGCCAGATTGTCTATGACTGGCTACATTTCCAGAATTGTGAGGCTGAATTAGCTCTTCTACCAACAATGCTCTTTTCCCATGTATAAATGTGAAAGGGAAGCCCAATTTCAGATATTTTTCTCCAAATGCATTAATCTGACTTTTCTCCTGCCCTGGTTTGACAGATGCTTTATGAAGAGCTATTGCTGTAGTGAATTGTTAAAGCAAAGACAAATATTACCATGATGATAGGGAAGGGAATCAGAAGGGAGGAGGAGGGAAAGTATGTTATCACATCTGTTTGCTTTCCATGCTTTCTGTACCCTTCCTTTCACTATAGGTCCTGCAGTAGTGTTCTCTTCCCATTGTAGAGTGGCAAGCTCTACTTAGAAGAGATAACAGCACTTGCAAGCCTTGGTTTGCAAGGGGAAGCTGTGCATTGCCTATTCCACCAGTCCCTAAGCAAGCAAAGAAGTAGCTTTTGTGTGTAACACAAAATGTACAAGGATCTCTCAAGAAATGAGGTACACATATTTAGAAACGCATATAAAAGCCTGAATAATAATGTGAAAAACCTCAAATCATATGTCCACTAGATTCTTCCACCAAATCGGAAGACTTATGACACATGAGACATGCCCAATTAAAACGGCACTGTGCTTCAGAGTTAATGGTCCGATTCAAAGCTCACTGGAATTTTTCCACTCAGTCTTACAGGCTTTAGATCAATTGCTGGCAAAAATCTAATCCCCAGTATAGCCAAGACAGCCTTCAGTATCACACAAGCCTTCCCCAAACAGCCAAACATTCACAGCTGTTTCCAAGTGTACTCTCCAATGTGCAAGCACCAGATTTATTCAGCACTGGAAGGGTGGAATTGGGAATATTCATTTCTAAGGAGAGGGAAGAGCAGGGACTGTCACGATTTTGATCCCAGTCAACTGAGGCTTAGGAACCTAGAGAAATACAGCCAGCCTCTAGCAGATGAATTCTAACAAAATTTCAGCAAATGGGTACATTATTCATGAAGACAAAAGCCTCTGGAGAAACAAACCCGGAGCTGATGTAAAGCAGCTATTTTAATCAATAAACCTGTAGCAGAAACCATCTGCACCAGGTCTATTTAAAACCAGCCATTTACAATTTAAAGGCCAAATAACAATCAGTGTGCAGTGATTCTGCTGGTTTTTATAGCCATTCCCTCTTTTCCTTGCTTAAGCAATGTATTTCTGCAAACTTTCTAATTCAGTCTGACAATAGCTGCCTGTGATGAGGGGAGGGGAAAAGCTTTCAGATTAAACCCATTCCTTCTCATTTTGCATGTACATCTCTTCAGAATCAAAAGTGGCATCTCTGCTGGGATTTAGTCACATATCCCCAGCTGTGATCGAAGAAAATTTTTAGCACAT